ACGTTATCGTATCTTCGGGTTAGATTCCGTTAAGATCACGAGATGGGCTTTTATCGCGTTTTAGGACCTTCCGGACCGTTCTGCGATAAATCCGTTTTCCGACTTTGAACGGGATCGTTTCCTGATCTGATGCCGTTTTTAGTAAATTCCTCGAGCTAATCGTAAGGTTTTACGATTTACTCGACGTTTTTATTAAAACACACATTTTTTACGATTTACTCGACGTCTTTATTAAAAACGCGTTTTTTACGATTTTAACGAGAAATCTCGAATAAATCGTATAGTTTAGGCAATGTTCGGTGTTTCGTTTAACCGTTGCCGTTTTATACGATTTCCTCGAGTTCTTTGTCGAGAAAACGAAGTTTTACGGTTTTTATCGTAAAACTCGAACGATAGGTCGGATCGAGATGGAACGGGAGACATTTCGGCCGTGGTTCAGAATGCGACCGTGCCAAAAGACATAAATTTCGAATCGGGGATGCGGGAGATCGAGGCTCGGGACGTCCAGAAAGTCTCTAGTTCGTCCAACGGCGAACTAAGCCGTCTGGCTTAGTTCGCCCACCGGCGTACTAAGCCAGCTTGGCTTACAGTGTGAATATTTTGATATGTTTATTTTATTTAGATCATCTAGTTTGCTCTTTACTATCAGGTTATTTTGTATTACATTACTCGTTTAGATTGTGCCAATATATTTATTCATATCAGTATTGGGTGTGTTTGATGTTCTCTTTTAAATTTGTGACATCATATTATAGTTTTTTCACATTTATTTAGGTATTTACCTTAGGTACACAAATCTAGTTTTCGGGTTTAAATATGGCTATTGGTAGAGATTTATATGGTTACACCAGGACCTAACTGAAAAAACAACATCTTTTTCGATCAACGCCTCTTTCTTGAAATATGTTTTATCATGACACTCAGAAACTCCATAAAAAGAAAATGGGTTATTTAATACTCAAACTGATGCGTGTTTGCTTTGTTGATTCAGGTTCTGTCGTCATATACTTCATTAGTTTTGAATATTCTCTTCCTTTTGAAATTGAAACGGTTTTTGTTCATTTCCCTTATTATCTATGGCTCTATGTTCTCAGTTTTGTAGTTAAACCATATTAGGTAAACTGGTGTTGGTGAGGTAGAGGGTGATCAATTGTTTTACTAAATTAAATCCGAGAGTAAATCAAAAGAAGCCCCTCTTGTATGATTAAATGGAGGACGTGGTTGTTTTTTTCTGAACTTGTTTATGAAAATGGTAAATATAAAATATTCTATTTCAACTTATAGTGGGTGACTTGTTTGATTTGGAGAAATCTTGTTTCCGTTTGCTTTCACGGCTGAGGCCTACAATAGAAGTATCCCATCCCTGGAATCTACTACATATTCATGAATTTGGACTAATGTAACAATGAATTGAAATCATATTCATGATGCTCAATTAAATTTTGAGTGGTGATACTTATTTTGGGTGGAAGATATTGGTGACAGTTTGAATGTGCGTATTCGATATAGATCTTATAATTTATTTGTTTTTTTTATATTTGTGAGGTTTAAACGTTATGACCCCCATTTTTGTTTTTAGTGTGTTACTGAATTTATCAGAGAAGCTGCGACTTTTTTAATTATTTGATTTTGAGTTCAACCTTCACTGGGAAAAGGATTATGAGGAATAATGATAAACCGGCTCCCATTTTATTTCAGATTCTCAAACTTTAAAATATGTTGTTAAATCAAGAAAATAAAGTCTTAATCTGTTTGTAACAGAAACCTGTGTCTCATCGGGTCTCAGTGGTGTAGGGATGATAATCTTAGGCTTAGCTGTGGCATCCTAATAAAACAAAACTAACTGTACTGGTCAACTTCTAGATTCGATCTTTGCTTTTCTTTTAAACTAACTGATAAGCTTGTGAGATCTTCTTAATCTTCAGTCTTCTCACGATAGAACATCCTATAGTATAAGCGATTAAATTTCCATTAGACTTCTACATAATTTTAGTCACTAATTAAATTTGCTATGTGTTTAAATTAGAGATTACTAAAATAAATAAGAAAAGTACATACTCCCAAGGAACGTCTCCAACCACCATCCAATCATCTTCCTAGTCTGTATAATTTAGCTTGTGAGTCTTCTCACTACAAACACATCTCTTCTTCTTCAGCCTCTGTTTCAGCATTCATTATTAATTACCATTCACCCACTATACTTTCATTTTTCTTTCCCACATACCATGTATATTAGAAGATCGCCAGAAGACCTCCACCCCCACCCCCTCCCATTCTAATTTGTTGCATTAGTAATCCAATAAATCATCATAATATAGAATGAGTTATGGTCTACAGAATACATGTAAAGGCATAATTATATATAGAGTTGACCATGTTGGAAGACGTCATGTTCTTTAGTAATAAAGAGCCAAATGGAAAAAATGTATAACTATTATCATTTACGAAGCTTTCTTAACACCAACTGTAAAATGTGTGTTTGGTATACATGCAAAGATAAATTTGTGTTCAATCATAGTATCTCCTATCCTTTAAGCGAAAATAGATCTTTCTTCCAATACGCCTCCTTCCATGTCCACCTTCACGTTGAAGCTTTTGAGACTAATACACGCGTTTTGATCTTCCTCTTCCATACCATTTGAAGATCAGCTGCGGCGACTCAATATTCTTTATTTTCTCCACCGCGGTAATTTTGTCCGGATGATGATCCGAAGCTGAGACCGAGTCTAAGGTCCGTGCTTAGGTTCTGAGAGCCACCAAATGGGTTGCTTTTGCATCTACTTTCTATTGATGCAGAAGATGATCTTTTTCCGCCTCTTCCCATTTTCTCTGGTGTGATGCAAGAAGAACATTAATTGAAATTTAAAAGGGTGTTAGCCAAAGCAAGCAGCTGCGCTACATTGCAGAACCAACACAGCTAGAAAGGTATCAGTTTGACCGTGTCAGTAATGTCAACGAAGGCAGACTTCGACGGTGTTGGGACAGCTTCCCAATATCAAGTCGGCAAGCAAAATCGTGGAAGCATGCATGACTGGTAAGAAATTTCTAAGGTTCTAATGTTTGGGAAGGAGAAACTAATGAATCTGACTAATCGGAAAACTTAGTTTTATTTATAGGTATAGATTTGGAGTTTTTGGGCAAACGGAGGGTCCATCAAATGAGGGATATTGGGAGACGTGGGTTGGTGGTGTTAAAGAAAGCTTTAATGAACTATTGATTGCAAGGTACAACTGTTGCCTAGGTTGATCGAAGATGCAGTGACGACTTTTCCGTGGAAGAGATGAAGTTGATGGGGTTTATAGATTAAAGCATAATGGGCTTATATCTAATTTCAATAACATAGCCCAGACACTAAAACGGAAATCTTATTTAGAGACACATGTCATGCTGTGGTTTACTTATTTAATGACGTGGAGCACCCTATAAAGAGGGAACTTTAGTTTATATATATAGATAGATAACTAATGAAATCTGCAGCTAAAACCGAATGCATCCTAGCATTTAAACTAATTGCTGCGACTGAACAAAAAGATAATACACAAAAACATGTAAACGTAAATCCATACAGCCAAAAGTATTCATGTCCCATGCATGATTGAACAAAAAGGAAATCATATTAATATTTTTTGTTGGCATCTGCAAATGTTAGACCATATTTAACAATAGATCCACCATTAGAGTTCTAAATCAATTTTTTAAATGAAAATAATAAAATTCAAAATTTTAGATTTTTTTTTTTTCAATTTTAGTTCCTCCAATGATAGAACCAATTAAAAATTTTAAATTTTAAAAATTTGAAAATTTGTAATAAGAGATTTGATTATTTGCATCTCATTTTATAATAAAAACTTATAATTATTGAATTACATAAGATTTAAATTAATTCAACATAAAAATGTAACATAAACTGAGAAATCATAAATAAAATTAAACGATTAATAGTTATTCTTTCAATCGCCAAGGTTTTTTTCGATCAGTTCACCGAAGGAAAAAAGACAAAGAACAATTATGGGACAGACAAAGAACATTGTTTTTTTTTTTAAATATCATCTCTCACAAAATGACAAATGTCATTTAGAAATGGATCCAAAACTTCTAATTATAAAACCCTATCTATCTAAATTATATCCTTTTATTAAAATTTAATCACATAAATATTTAGATACATCATTTAGAAGTGTTTTAGGTACTCTTTTGGACATGCTCTTAGTACTGCTATCAGATTCATCATTGATTTGTTTTTATTTTATCATTATTCTTTTTTTTGGGCAAACTTTTATCATTATTCATCATTGATTTTTAGATTGATGACAAAAAAAACAACAACAACACAATAAGTAAAGCTACGCTATTAGGTAAATAATTAAAGATATTATAATTCTAAAAATCTAGGTATAAACAAAATAAACACATTAAAAAGCCAAGGCCAAAGATACATAAATGCTTTTTTCTTTCACAAATATCAAAAAGACGATTTCACACCAAATGGTCAAACTTCGATATTTGACAATCTGTTTCAGTTCATCCTGCTAACTTTTTTCTTTTTAATACCTGACATGTTTGTTTAGTTCCAATATAGTATTTAGTTTACTATATATGTTTTATTACACCACATACATAGAATACATATTGAAGTTACGATTGAAAGAATCATAGTAAATGATGTGAAATTATAACTATAAAATGCATGACTATTGTTATTACTTTTTGGCTTGATTTTTATTTTGTATTGGTAGGGATTACCTTGGATAATCTTACCAATAAATAGTGAGTGTTATTTATATCTTTAAATTTATTAAATATAGTCTTAATAAAAATGAAACAATTGACAGTTCTAACATCTAACATTTTTATTCATTACCTAATACCAGTTTAGACCTTAACGAACCGATTCAAATCTAGTCGACGCGAACATGGAACACGAAAATTCCACCAGAGAATAGTGTGTTCTGTCTGCGTAATTATACAGAGGTGTTTATGTAACTTTCTCTTAATTAATTAAAAATTACACGAAAGAAGATGGCAAAGAAAACGGAAAGTAGAGAGAGAGGGGAAATAAAAGAGAGATAGTGCGAGAAAGAGAGCTGGATTCACATGGCCTTGTTCTTTCTCTCTCTCTCTCCACAATGACCATTACCAACAAAACTGATTGAAACCCATCTGTTCCCTCTCTCAACATCACTCTTCTCTGCCTCTAACGCCATGGCTGATAAGGTAAAGGCTACTTCGTTACCTTTTCGCTTGTCTTTCAGGCAAGATCCTGTTTTTTGTTGTTTTCCACATTTAACCCTTCAGTTAGTGGTCTTAACAGCTTTGGTCGGAGCGTCTTGTTCCTATAAAGATTTTTTTTTTTTTTATTTGGATAGTTTTTTGAAGTAGATGGGTTTTCAAGTTCTGGGTTTGTCAAAAGTTTTATTCTTTTTGAGTTACCGTAAGATCTCTGAGCTCCTCTAGAAAGGTTTTTGAGTTCTGAGTTGGACGACCTACCTAACTATTCTTTAGCTTTTACTTGAACAGGAAAAAAAAACAAAAACTGATTTGTAAGTTTGTAACCTTATGAGATGTGTAAATTAACCATCTTTTGGTTGTTAGGGTTAGCTCTGTTTAGATAATCCGCGGTTATAAATCTCGATCTGTGATTTAAATTCACAGTTATTAGATCCAGAATAATGCATATAATTTCGTTCTTGTTTTGTTGTGTGTTTGCTTTATGCTTTGCTGTCTTGTTTTCCTTTCTTCTCGCGTGACAGAACAGAAGTATATACTATATTCTTTTCAACTAAACAAGATTCATTCTGCGTAACGGCTACTTCTTAACCAATCTTTTTGACTAATAAAGCTTCCTTCTTTAGACTTTTGATTCTCAGACAAGCATTATGCTTTTGTTTTAGCTTTTGACTGCTGGATTCTTGAAGTGGAATCAACGGTTACTTGCATGACCTTACAAGCTTATTTCTTGCAGGAGATGCCGGCTGCTGTAGTTGAAGAACATAATCAAGTCACTGGTCACATAATCTCCACCACAATAGGTGGTAATAATGGAGAACCAAAACAGGTACCAGATTAGATACTTGTCTTGTCTCTCTCTTTATATGCAAGTTTTTTTTTTGTTTTTAATTCTAAATCCTTATTTCTTTTTGTTAGACAATTAGTTACATGGCGGAGAGAGTTGTAGGTACAGGCTCCTTCGGAATAGTTTTCCAAGCAAAGTGTTTGGAGACTGGAGAAACCGTTGCGATAAAGAAGGTTTTGCAGGACAGGAGATACAAGAACCGAGAGCTTCAGCTGATGCGTGTGATGGACCATCCGAATGTGGTTTGTTTGAAGCATTGCTTCTTTTCCACCACAAGTAAAGACGAGCTTTTCCTTAATCTGGTTATGGAGTATGTCCCTGAGAGCTTGTACCGAGTTCTCAAACATTACAGCACTGCAAACCAAAGAATGCCTCTTGTCTACGTTAAACTCTACATGTACCAGATCTTCAGGGGACTTGCTTACATTCACAATGTTGCTGGAGTTTGCCATAGAGATCTGAAGCCTCAAAATCTTCTGGTATGCGTTAACATTCAAGATTCATCAACTCTTGTGTGTTTCTTTTAGTTGCTAAGCTGTCTTTTTCTACAGGTTGATCCTCTTACTCATCAAGTCAAGATCTGTGACTTTGGGAGTGCGAAACAGCTTGTAAGACTTCCGGATATATAAACTCATTCCACTTGTAGCGTTGTTGTTTTGTATGATCTTATATCATTTACTTGTGTGGCATCAGGTTAAAGGTGAAGCCAACATTTCTTACATATGTTCAAGATTTTACCGAGCACCTGAACTCATATTTGGTGCCACTGAGTACACAACTTCCATTGATATCTGGTCTGCTGGTTGTGTTCTTGCTGAGCTTCTCCTTGGTCAGGTAAAAAGCCAAAATTTTCTCACCAATCAACTCTTTAAGTGTTCATTTTAGGACACATTCTAATGGTATCATGTGTTTTTTTTATGCAGCCGTTATTCCCTGGAGAGAATGCTGTGGATCAGCTAGTTGAAATCATCAAAGTAAGAATCTCTAACAATGATATTTGCAAAATGACATTCATTTTGCTACAAATCCTCATTGTATATATGGATGGGTGTTGGAAACAGGTTCTTGGTACACCAACTCGAGAAGAGATCCGTTGTATGAACCCACATTACACTGACTTTAGGTTCCCTCAGATAAAAGCACATCCTTGGCACAAGATTTTCCATAAACGGATGCCTCCGGAGGCTATTGATTTTGCATCAAGGCTGCTTCAGTACTCTCCAAGCCTTAGATGCACAGCGGTAAGCACTGCTCTCTTTTTTTTCTCTTTAGAATTCAATGGAATGTTAATAAAAATGTCTAATTACAGCTGGAAGCTTGTGCACATCCCTTCTTTGATGAACTGAGAGAACCAAGTGCTCGTTTACCTAACGGAAGGCCTTTCCCACCTCTCTTCAACTTCAAACAAGAGGTAGCTGGAGCATCACCAGAGCTGGTCAACAAGTTGATTCCAGACCATAACAAGAGACAGTTGGGTCTAAGTTTCTTGAATCAGTCTGGAACTTAAAAGGGACCAAAAGATATATATAAATGTACCATTACTCATAGCCAGAAGGTAGTTGAAGGCACAACGTGGAGGATACAATTCAAAGATTGATGGTGAAAGAAAGCTTCTACAACCTGACTTCCCCCAAATCTGCAAGAAAAGCCATTCAATTGTATCTTTTTTTGTCCTTTCTAAGTTTGGTAAGAAAATGGAATCTCCTATTTTGCTTCATTCTTTCTGCATCTGTAAATGAGTTTAGTCAAGAGTTTTCTTATATAGTAAAGTTTGAGCAAAAGGTGAAAGAACCTTAATCAAAGAAAGAGAGCTGAAGTTTACCAGAAGAGGAAGCTTTCTCTGTTTTTGTTTTGTTTTGTTTCTTCCACCTCTTGAATGTTTGTCTTCTTTTATATTGTTGCTATTATGGTAATATTACCAAATTTTGTGAAATGGTTTGTTTTATGAATCTCTTTCTTACAAAGGCTAATAATAATCTCAATACCTTTTTCTCTTTTTTTTTTTTGCATTAAGAGAAGTTCTATTAGTATATAGTGGAACTATTAGTTGGTAGATTTTAAAGAATTTAGAAATTCTAAAATTTTTGTGATGTTTGTTATCTGATTATTTAACCTTCAAATCATGGTTTATTAGTGAATAGTGACTAATTAAAGGCAAGTCTCAATACTGTTTTGCTTTCTGCAATACGAGAGGTTCCACCCTACAGAGTTATGGTGTCTGTTCACACTACAACTAGATTGAACGCTTTGAAACGTTAACAGTAATCCGTTGTAGTCTAGCTGGTCAGGATACTCGGCTCTCACCCGAGAGACCCGGGTTCGAGTCCCGGCAACGGAGTTTTTTTTTTAATTTTAAAATAATATTGCTGACCTTACAAGGAGGGGGGCACTCTCGTCATTAATCTAGAACAAACCCTAACGCGTCTCTCATATAAACTACAAGACTTCACGGCCGTCACTGCCACTCTTCCTCTTCTATCTCCCTCGATTTTGAACCCCTTAATCGTAAAGATGGTATCCTTTCTCAAACCTCCATTGCAACTTCTTGCTTATATTCCATTTCCAAAAAAAAAATCTATTTTTTGATGAAGTTTCTCTTATCTTACTGTGATGCAGGCGTCGGAGAAGAAGCTGTCGAACCCAATGAGGGACATCAAGGTCCAGAAGCTCGTTCTCAACATCTCTGTCGGTGAGAGTGGTGATCGTCTCACTCGTGCCTCCAAGGTTTCCTTCTTTCTTTCTTTCTCCCATAATCAATACTTTAGGACTTAAAGTAGACACCTTGTTTTGTCTGAATCGAGGGGTTTTATGGGGTAAATTGTGTAGGTGTTGGAACAGCTAAGTGGTCAAACCCCTGTCTTCTCCAAGGGTATGTCTGAAACATTTTCATTACATGTTTTGTCTGTAATGTTTGAGAATCTGGAGTTTAATTTTAGCCTGTGGTTGTAAACAGCAAGGTACACTGTGAGATCATTCGGAATCAGGCGTAACGAGAAGATTGCTTGCTACGTCACCGTGAGAGGAGACAAGGCGATGCAGCTTCTCGAGAGTGGTTTGAAAGTGAAGGAGTACGAGTTGTTGAGGAGGAACTTCAGTGACACTGGCTGCTTTGGGTTCGGTATCCAGGAGCATATTGATCTTGGAATCAAGTGAGTGTGTTTGGTTTAGTAGAGCACATTTGATTATGAAGGAATGTTCTCATGATTTTGTATTTTGTTTTGTTATTAGGTATGATCCTTCCACTGGTATCTATGGAATGGACTTCTATGTTGTTCTTGAACGTCCTGGGTACCGTGTTGCTCGTCGCCGTAGGTGCAAGGCTCGCGTTGGGATTCAACATAGAGTTACAAAGGATGATGCCATGAAGTGGTTCCAAGTTAAGTATGAAGGTGTTATCCTCAACAAGTCTCAGAACATCACTGGTTGAAGACTTTGTGTTGTTTTGTGGTGTTAGCTCTTGTCTCAGAACATCGCGTTGGGATCTCTTGTTTTTTTGTATCTTTTTTTTTACTTCAGTTGGTTTAGAATCTACGTATTCGAGATGAACGATTTTTGGAGGTTATCGTTATCAATTTTAAAACAATCTCTCTGCTTTAAACTAGTCCCAAGCCATATGTCTTTTATCTGATTTGCATGTCAGAATGTGGACTGAATGGTTAGAACAGGACATCTGAGTGGATAATCTCACTTTTCTCTAGCTTTGTGTTCTGCAAGTTTCATAGTTTCAGTCAGTGGGAGCCATTTCTTCCTTCTGCGTCATTTCTTCTAAAACTTTCTGGCTAATTGAAGCCTATCTCTTGGACCTAAAGCAGAAGGTCGAACTACTTGTCTCTTTGGTAGCTCCTACTTTGCAGAAGTCGTTTACATTAACTGATTGCAAGAAAAATGGGGGTTTTGGATTTTGAACCAAATTCATTGACAACCTCAGCCTCTTCTCTATTTCTCAAGAACGTCAAGACCTTGAGATCTAAAAGTAGATTTAATAGGGCGTTTGATCTTCTCGACAAATTAATTGTTGATATAAGTATATGCTTTTGATTTACAAATTATCATATGGTGGTGACATGGTGTTTACATGACTATGTCCGGTTCAGGCAGTTGTTATCCATTTTGGTGCACACAGAAGGTACCAATGCATAACTTGCGCTCGACGCAACCACGTGGTCTAGGTTTCTGAGCCCATGTTTAGGTTTTAATCCCATCAATTAAGTTCTATCAAACTATGATGATTAGTGCAGCCTCGTATATAAGAAATTACAAATGCAGAAAATCTAGCATAGAAGATATTCCATCCTTTATAACATTAGGAAGGCATTTCTCTTATTGAATACATTAAACTTATAGCTAAAATGGTCAAAACACTCCTTAGGTCGAACTACTTGTCTCTTTGACAAACATTCAACTATGTTTACCCCAAATTTAACAACACCACGTCAACTGAAACCACGTCAACTGAAAAGTGTTTTTCTTTATCTCACATTTTCTTTATTTGATTTCCAAAATATTTAAATTAACTTCAAGATTATACAGCTTAAACTTAAATAAGGAAAATTGAACGTGAACTAAATTAAGTAATATCTCTACAAATTAACTAGAACTAATAAATCTAAACTTTGAAATAATTTTACTTTTTCCCTTTACATACATGTTAAGACATGATTTCAGTAAAAACAAAACAAACAAAAAGTCTAAATATTCGAGACTTAATTAATTAAATTAAATTAACATTAATGCGAGCAATAAACTCCAAACGTTACATTTTTACTAACAAATTAATGGGTATAGTAAAACCTACACATTAAATGTCTTTCTTTCCTGCTTCTCCTACCATACAAATACAAGAAAGAACAAAGCAACACACAAAAACACTTCACTTTTTTTTTACTAATTACTTAAGTATTTTTTTTCTCCTCTTCTTTCAAAAAAAAATGGAGAATTACGTCGGCGAGAGTGGATTTGCTCCTCTAAGCCAAACCATCTTCATTCGTGATCAAGAACATATGAAAGAAGAAGTTTTACCATTCCAAGTCTTCGACCAATCACAACCCACAAGCTTTCTTCAAAACTTCCAACATCTTGATCATGATCATCAATTTGATCATCATCATCATCATGGCTATACATCTTCAAATTCTTTGCTCGGTATCCAAACTAGGCCCTCTTGTGTCAATAGTTCTCCTTTCGAGCATTGCTCTTACCAAGACAAAATGGTCGATTTGGTCGATGAACATGGACCGAGGGACATGGAACAAGACAACATGATGATGAGAATGATCTCTTTTGATTACCTGCCTAGAGGGATCATCAAGCCTATGAACTTTGTGATGCCAGATGAAGTTTCATGTGTTTCTGCAGATAATGATTGTTATAAAGCGATGAGTTTCAACATGACCAAGCCTTTTCTAACAAAAAGTTGTCTTCATCGTCTTCGTCATCATCATGGAAAGAAAAGAAAGAAACAACATTAGTCAATGGAAAATGGACTGCTGAAGAAGACAGGTTCGTTACTAACGTAAGCTTAAGGCCAATATCGCATAAATTATATATTACAGTCTCACTATAATAGGAGAAATAGTACTTGAATTACATAAAGTCATTATACAAAATTACTATCAAATATTAGATAAATTGTCCCATTTTGCGGGTTATTAATTAAAGAGTAATTGTTTTGGATAATAGGATATTGATTCAACTTGTGGAGAAATATGGATTGCAAAAATGGTCACATATAGCGCAAGTGTTACCAGGAAGGATAGGGAAGCAATGTAGAGAGAGAGGTGGCGTAACCATTTGAGACCTGACATTAAGGTATGAACTAGTAACTCAAATTTATGTAGTGATGAATGATTAAAGAAAGTAAAGATTAAATAGTGTTGAGAGACTGTGAATATATTTGTTGTAGAAAGAAACATGGACTGAAGAAGAAGACAAAGTGTTAATAGAATTTCATAAAGAGATTGGGAACAAATGGGCAGAGATTGCGAAAAGACTCCCTGGAAGAACAGAGAACTCGATCAAGAACCATTGGAATGCGACAAAAAGAAGACAGTTCTCTAAGAGAAAGTGCAGATCTAAGTATCCAAGACCTTCTCTGTTGCAGGATTACATACAGATCTTGGGTTTGGAAGCGTTGTCTTCTTCCTCTGTGCCTGCAAGAGGTATACGCAGAGAGAGCAGCAAGAAGAAAGATATTATGGCGGTTGATGAAAATAATAAGAAGAATGAAGATGAGCTTTATGAACAAGATTGGATTGTGCCTGAATGTATGTTTACTGATGACTTTGGAAACAATGAGAACCTGCTTGAGGAAGGATGTAGCATTGACTCATTACTTGATGACCTTCCTCAGCCTGACATTGATGCTTTTGTTCATGGACTCTGATTTGTGTTGCTTTCTTTTTTCAGTTTTGTTTTTGTATGAGATATATTCCACCAAACTATTGAGATAAAATAATTCAACAGAATAAAACAACAAATATCATTCTACCAGTGCCTTGATTGTAGGTTTATGTGTTTTGTGTCAATGTTTGCATATTTTTGATGAAAAGTATAGTTATATAGTCAAAGATATATTATTATGTTGGATATTTAAGAAAGTGAAAATTTGTGAACAAAAGAAGAAGAAGGTGAAGATTAGTTGAACATGTTGAAGTAAAAGAAACATCAAACTAACTTGTGCAACAAGAACATTACTTAATTTGTGGAGCAAGCAGCCACATGAGAAAACTTCTGTCACAAGAAAGGAAAGTTTTACAAAACAACAACAACAACAAAAAAAAAGATCATCATAAAGAATACATAACATAAACTCTTAGCAATCAATCAAAAGACAGTTCTGCGAAAGAGAAGTCGTATCAGTCTTAGAGACAAAAGGATTGATACGAACCCAAACAAGAGAAAACACAGAAGCAAGCAAGATAGACCAGAGAATAACAATGGTGGGTGTTCTGTTCTGTCTTCCCATAAGACCTTTGAGGAAAGGATAAAGATGAAGAACGACCCAAAAGGCGAAGAAAATCTTCCCAAACAAAGGTCCCCAAGCTTCATAACCTTTGTTTAAAGCATCAGAGAATCCAGCAACTACTCCAACCAAGTTAATTATGAGAAGTGATGTTGGAGGGATCAAGAGCGTTGTCCATTTGACAATGTACAGCTCACCGAACTCTAAATCTTCTGCGGTTTTCGATGTGACTGTGAAGTTTGTGTCGAGACCGGCAAGCATTTTGAGGAAGCCTTGGAAAACAGCAAACAGATGAGCTGAGACACCTCCAATGACCCAAAACTGCTCGTTTCTCCATAAGTCTTCAATGCTCACTCCACTCCATCTAAGCTCAAGGACGCTTGTTAAGATGATCGATATGAAGAGACCTAGAAACAGCATGCTTGCTAGGTTTGATAGCTGCAATAAAGAACAACACGATCAGAAGATACCTTCAATAAAGAACAACAAGACCTGGAATACACTAAATAGTACACACCCCCTAAATTTTAGAAAAATACTTTATAATAGCACTAAAATATCTATTTATTCCAAAGATAGCACAGAATGAAAAAAATCTCAAAATATCATTAACTAAAAAAGATTCTATATTTAAATTTATGTTTGGTGATTGGGGTTTATGATTTAGTATTTAGCGGGTAGAGTTAGGGTAATGATTTAGGTGTAGAGTGATTTATTCATATTACCTTTTAATTAGTGATGTTTTGGTGATTTTTTTCTTCTGTCATCCCTATTTTTTTTTGTGCTATCTAAGTCATTTTTCCCATTTTACTCGTTTAAAAAGTTACCGTTGGGATGATGAATTTGCCGGTGAGAAGACAAATGGCAGGAAGAGTACAGTAAGCAACAAGGGGCAAGGAAGTGAAGGGATAAACAATGGTGTTTATATAAGCCATTCTCTGAAGCCACTTGAGTCTGCCTCCACTGCAGCCATACCAGAGAGGACAATGTCTACTAAGGAAGATCTCCACAGAGCCAAGAGCCCAACGCAGAACCTGGTGAAGCCTATCTGATAGATTGATTGGAGCAGACCCTTTAAAAGCTGGTCTTAATGGCATACAATAAATAGACCTCCATCCACGGCAATGCATCTTGAAACCCGTCAAAATATCTTCCGTGATTGATCCATAAATCCATCCGATCTACCAAAAACAGAGATAACGATTATTACAATATATATTACTATATATAGTATAGTAAAGCTAAGAAGAGTTACTTCTTTTCCCCATTCAGTTTTCTCTTCATATCCACAACTAATGACATGAATAGCTTCTTTGATGAGCGTTGAAGGGTTTACGGAGTCAGGAACACCACCATTCTCCATAAGTGTAGACTCAATGAAAACAGCAGAGAGACCAAACGTTTTCTCAAAGCTTGTTTGTGAAATGAGCATAGATCTCTCGTACTCGTCGTAGTTGTCTAGGTCTCCTAGGTTAAAGATTGCAGCATCAAGTTCTTGTCGCTTTGCGTCTTTGTAAATCTCTGAAGGATCTTGTGTTTGTTTTTTCTTGCTTGGACAGCAGCAACAAGACGAGGAAGAAGATTGTGGTAACATCTTTGGTTTAGAAGGTGGACTATATCCATAAAGCGCTTGTCTTCTAAAGACACAACCGGTTCCAACATAGACCGGTCCTTGAATCCCATCGAGCCCTCTCATATTAACCTGAAACCAAAGTATCAAGATATCTATTAGCAGGAAAATTTCAAGATTTTCTTGAATTTATGAGCAATAATTTTAGGTGACTTTACATCGAAGAAAACAATGTTTCGGTTAGCGTATCGATCACTCTTGTCGATTCCATCAAACCTCTGAGGGAACTGAACATAGCAAACGTCTTGACCAACAACTGGATCCATTAAGAAGCACATTGCTTCACGGACGGCTTTACTGTTGTTGACGTAGTGATCACAATCAAGATTGAGAATGAATGGAGCATTCGTTAGAACCGCAGAAACCCTCACCTACAAAGAACAACAAACTCATTAGGATTGTGTCACAAGTTTTCTTGAATTATACCAATTATAAGTTGAAGTTTCTACCAATGCGTTCTCAGCTCCAGCCTTCTTGTGATGCTGATATCCAGGCCTCTTCTCTCTAGAGACGTATACTAATCTTGGAAGTTCGTTTCCTTCAACGTCACGCGCACCGCTATATCCAAGAAAAACCTACAAGATAAGATCAAAGATTGAGAGGACGAACAAAAAAAAAAGAAAAAAAAAAAAAAAGATTGAGAGGACGAATCTACAAGTATAGTTTTAAGAGTCTTTTAGGTCAAATGTTTTGAGATATAAAACCTGAATCATTCCGGGATGGTCACGAGTATTGTTTCCAGGCCAAGAGGTTCCATCTTGCATTGTCCATCCTTCTTCTGGTGTCTTTTGAGCCTTGGCCACTAAAGCATTCATTCTGATCTTGAACTCTTCATAATCTCTCTATAAAACAAACCAGACTTAAGTTTTTGATAATGTTATGGAACTTAACTGAGGATCTTTACTTACTTTCATGGCTCTACGTTCTTTCACAAAAGAAGGCTGAACCTTGTCCCTCAAGTAATCGATTTTAAGCGAAAAGTAAAACTCCGGAGCTCGTGGCTCGATGGAGTACTTCTTGCAGAAAGGTACCCATTTCCTAGCAAAATCTGCTGTCTCGACCAAAGACTCAAACGAAAGCATCGCAGCACCATCATCAGATACATAGCAAGAGACCTTATCCACTGGATAGTCAAGGGCCAAGATGGAAAGAACAGTGTTTGCAGTGATCAGAGGAGGCTCCTTCAATGGATCTACTGTACTGACAAAGAAATCTACAGCTGCAAGCTGTGATGGCTCGCCTTCTCTTTCGAATCTGCAATGTTTTGATTACAAGATTTTGAACATATTTTGACCTACCGTGCAGGTTAAGTAATTGTGAAAGATTTGTTACCTTGCGGATAACCTATCGATATAGGTTTCTCTGTTGATAGGACCCCATTTAGGAAACTGATCCAACACCCATGAGAAAGCAAACCAGATCTCACATATCACAGATGTTAGCCATAGACCATAAGCACTATCCACAGGGTGTGTGATACGGTAATGGAAAAACAGAGCTAAGATTGTCAACCGCATGATGATAACGATTCTGTATGCAGTTATCTTTGTCCTCGGGATAGGAATCACAACAGAAAGCACATCTGTAGCAGCAGCAGCAGCCTCTGGGTTCCTGGAAATGGCACAGACCAGTCAGTGTCTCAAACTTACTGGTGAATGTACAAATACTATGTTGTTCCCCATGCATGTGTGAGAATCTGCTTACAGTGATATATCTTCCATGTGCTGTTGGGGAGGAACCTGAGCATCATGGTCTTCATCTTTTGTTGTCTTTGCATGTTTTTTGTTCTTCTTCTTGCTCTTCTTGTCTTTCCAGCTATCAACTCTGTTCTTCCATATTGGGTTTCCGTATTCATCATTAAGTTCTTCAACAACAAATCACAATCCCATTGGTTAGTTTTTAAACTATTTAAACTCATCAAAATTTACAACTTTTGGATATTAGTTCTTACCACTGTCTATTGTGGAGACTGTACTTACATGTCTAGCATGAATTCCAGAATCCTACAAAAAAAAAATCAAGAAAATGTAATCAAATCTGTTTTGAAAATCAAGAAGCAGCTAATCATATAGTACACACCTGAGGAGTGTTAGTGATGTGTGTTGCAAGAGTGGATTGGTGTTTAGAGGTCTTGGTCTCAACATCATCAAGCACATTCTCTAAGGAGGAAACAAACAAAAATAAATAAACAAACTGTAAAACACTTTTCAACAAAAAAAAAGTTGCAAATTTATAATAAAAGTCATTTTACCATCGTAAGGATTGCCGCAACGCAAGCAGATTCTTCGACCCTCTTTGAATTCATACTCAAGACAAGCTTTGCAGATCGGGAAACTGCACTCATGGCAAGCAACGAAGAACTCTCCGTTTGCTTTCACACCAATCTCCTCGCCGCAAGTGTTGCAGACCGGAGACTTTGACTCCATCATCTTCGTTGTGTTAAGAGATTGAGAAGCCTTGGAGGTGTTTTGTAAGAGGGGAGAGGGAGAAAAAAGTTTGGTGGATTGATGAAAAAAAGATAAGAAGTTGAGAAGTTTCTATCGTTCACCAGCTTTTCTGAGAAAGCTGACGGCTAGCTAACAGAGAGACTGCAATGCGGGAAAGTGAAGGAAAGTTTCAGTTTAGTAGCGTGTGTGACACGTAATGTTTCGTCTCTAACCATCAACATCGGTAGAAATTTGCTTCCCTCCTAAGCGTCACATACTTTCTCCATCAACTCAATATTTTTATGTTTGTATATATTTTAGAAATAATTAGCATATATGTTACTAAAAAAATAAATAATTAGCATATAAGTTGCTAAAAAAAAAGAAATAATTAGCTTATAAAGATGTGGGAAATTTGTTAAATTGTTGTTAGTAATACATACACACTTCAAAATGCTCACATTATTTTAAAATTGTATATAGACTTTAAAATGTTGACTTGATGGGTAAAGTGTGGTGTCGCTTAGGGGGCAAGCAAATACTGTATCTGCCGATGGTTGGAGACAACATTATGCGTCACACACTACCAAACTGAAACTTTCCAAACGGGGCCCAGAATGTTATTAAATATTAATGTGAATGAGCAATTTGTTAAATTGTTGTTAAAAAATGACAAGTATTGGGGAAAAATGATCATGGAACATAGCACATAGTTTTATAATTTGTGGTTCATTTGGTATTCGTGTATATATATACTCAATTTAGAGTTTCTAAGATGAAATTCTATAGAAGATCACGCTTCAGAGTTCAGATCATAATGTTAAACATCACAAGGGTGAATCAATTTTTTTTTTTTTTTTTTTTTTGTTGCGGTTGTTAACCTTTTTCTCTTAGGTGCGGTTGGTTGATTTGCACTAAACTTGGAAGACAAGAAAAAGACAAAACCTCTCTAGAAAATCTGACACTGGGAGGAGCTTTTCTGATTTTTATAAAGGCAGCAGAACCATCCCTTAAAATCGACCAAACCGCTTCTTGTCTTTGCTCAGATGTGTGTTTAGGGCTGAAAATGTCTTAGAGTAGATTTTCTACGTCTCTGTGGAAGCAACTCTTTGTGACATTTCTAAGCTTGACCAAGAAGATGATTGTTGTGAGCTTCTATATGAAACAAGATAAATGATGAAAATGACGTACGAAACCACTCCAGCAAAAACCAGTAACCCAACAAAAAACCCGCTCGCTTCAGCCATGAAGAAATCAAGAAGAAGATACCCATTTATCAACATCACAAACACCGCCACAGTCCACGCTAGCTTCTGCAAAGATCCAAAACTGACTCATCACAATCCACATTACAACAACAAAGAAAGATGAAAAACAAACAAATACAAAGCTTAATTTACCTCAAGCGAAGGTCCAATTTTGAAGACACCCATGATATGTTCATTAGAAACCATAGTCAAAAGAGGAATAACAGCGAAAGGAATCTGCATCGACTGAAGAATGTTAAGCCATTCATTTAAAACATCAAGCGACCCCTCTGATGTGTTGAACATAAGAGCTACAAACATAGTTGGCACAATCGCAAAGCTTCTTGTTATAAAAGCAGATAGCCATTGCTCCATCTGAAGATCTAAGAACCCTTCCATTATAAACTGTCCAGCGTAAGTCCCTGTGATGGTACTGCTCTGTCCAGCAGCTAACAAACCGATACCCCAAATGTAAAGTATCGGGAAAACCCCGCCGCCATACTTCTCCTGTAGGTAATGCCCTGCGTTAACTAGTCCTATACTATCAGCCTGTTTGGTTCCATAAAACCCTTTAGCGAAAACCGCGGTTACAAAGAGATTGATCATGAAAGAGACGAAAAGCGCCGCGGTTGATTCGATGTTGTAGTAGTTGAGAGCTTCTTGAACTCTGTTTATGTCCTTTGGGTTGGTCTTCCTTGACTGCACTAAAGCGGAATGCAAGAAAATATTGTGAGGCGTTATAACGCATCCCACTACTCCAACAGCTTGTCTGATTGTCTTTGATCCAAGCTTCGGAATAAGAATGCCTTTCAAGTCATCAGATAAAAAGGAAAATCAAGAACTGGAATCAGTAAAAGACAATGCCGTATTCTTAAATTTTGAGGTACCTATGATTAGTTCTTCTCCGCTCGGCTTAGTTTCATTGAACATCCAAGCAAAGGAAAGAGCCATTGTCGCGATCAAAACCCCGAAAAGACCTTCTAGTTTCCTCATCCCACACTTCTCCAGATACGAAATCAAGAAGCTGTTTTTACACAAGATTAAGCATAAGAGAATGCATCTAATTCTCTTCAATTTCTCCAGATATGAACTAAATCAAGAAGCTATTTTACATGAACACACATCAAAAGACAGAAAATAACCAATTTTGACCTAACTTGCTTACCAATCAATCGACATTATACAAGAACACACATCAAAAGATAGAGAAAATCACCAATGTTAACCTAACTTGCTTACCAATCAAACTACCTGATACAAGAACACACATCAAAAAATAGAGAAAATCACCAATGTTAACCTAACTTGCTTACCAATCAAACTACCTTATACAATAACACACATCAAAAGATAGAGAGAGATATCATCAATTTTGACCTAACTTGCTTACCAATCAAACGACGTGATGATAACACCAGCCCAAATAGGCAAAAACCCACGTGTCAAAATCTGAAGAGCAATGGCGCTTCCGATGACTTCCTGAATATCAGCTCCGATCAAAGCAACCTCCGCCATGAACCAAAGCAGGATCCTCGCCCACGACGGGTACTCGTTTCTGCAAATCTCCGCCAGATGCCGACCCGTCGCGACACCGATCCGAGCCGAGAGAAGCTGCATCAGAAGTCCCATTAGCGTGGCCCACAGAAGAAGCCAAAGAAGCGAGTATCCCGCCACGGCTCCGGCTTGTAGATCGCCTTCGATGTTTCCAGGGTCTAGAAACGCGATGCTCATGAGAAACCCTGGTCCCGTGAATTTCCATAGCTTCGCCCACGAGAAGGGAGGAACAGACTCTAAGGTGGCTTCTCCTTCTTCTTCTTCTATTGTGAGTATCTGATTCTCCGTATGTGATTCGCTTGGGTCGTTGGAGTCCGATTGAGAGGTGAGTAGGAGGCGTTTGAATTCGCCGTTACTTTCGTTACGTTTCAATGGGCTGTTGACTTGGCGGGAAACCGTTGGATCCGTCATGTTTTAGTAAGGGAATGTTCTTTTGGCGTTAGTGACGATTGTGATTTACAAGTTTTAGAAGTCAAAGAAAAGTCAAATGACAAAGGAAAACTCGATTTTCTAAAAATGAATTATAAATGTTATCAATAATTTCTATTATTAGTTGTTTCTTCAAGAAAAAATAGCAGAATAATTGTTGGTTTGGAGATTTTTACGGATTGAAAAGAAAACAAACTGAGCAAACCATAGACCGGAACCGGTTAAATTACATAATTCATCAACCGGTACAGAATCAGACCAAATCTAACCAATTTTCAAGCAAAACAAATAAGAAGCATAACACAGATTGGCGTGGAAGCCCTATACATAGTCCAATAATTTGATTACGAATTCATATATGTTTTAGTTACACTAAGAGGAATGGGGCTCTGAATTTTTTTGATTTATTACTACTTACTTATGTGAATTCAATTAATGGTGAAAAACTTACATGAAATCTTTACCATAGTACCAATAAAATTCTTATGCAGATATGAATTCTTATGTTTGAACTACAGGTAGTAAATTAATCAAATGTAAAATTGTATATAATTTTATAATAATAAACAATAAATTTGTTAAAATAATCAGACCAAAACCGGTTAAATTACAAATTCCTCAACCGGTACAGAATTAGAGCAAAGCTAAGTAATTTTCAAGCAAAGCATAACTTAGATTGTCTTCTAAAAGTTAAGCAAACATCTTCAAAAGAATTTCGACTGTAAGAAAAAAGAAAACAATCTTAGCTTGAGGACACGACACATACCAAACCCCTCAATATGCAAGAGAGATCACGAGTCTTTAGTTGGAACAGCAACCAGTTTTCTTCACAGCAGAGACATCAAGATCAATCTTCTCTCCTTTGAAAACATTACCAGAGTTTGAATCATCACCAGCCTCCATGGCTTTCTTGCTTACAACTTGATGAATCTGAGTAAGTACTTCAGAGAAAGCGTTCTCAACGTTGGTAGCTTCAAGTGCTGAAGTCTCCATGAAATAGAGTGATTCATTCTCCGCAAAAGATTTAGCATCCTCGGTTTGTACCGCTATAAGATGACGAAGATCGGATTTATTTCCCAAGAGCATCACAACTATGTTTGGGTCGGTATGGTCACGGAGTTCCCTAAGCCATCTCTCAACGTTCTGGAACGTGGAGTGTCGTGTTACGTCGTAGACAAGAAGCGCCCCTACAGCTCCTCGGTAATATGCACTAGTGATCGCACGGTACCTACAAAATGACCATAATAATAATAATATAAAAGCTCTTATTGCTCAAAGTAATCAATCAATAAAACAGCTAAAATTTCATATTATATCAGCTGCATTTCAAGATAAGCTGGTCCTATGATCTACAATGAAAGAAAAACAATCTAAAAGCCAAGAAGTAAATAACCAAGATGGAGAAGAGAGACACAAACAAACCTTTCTTGACCAGCAGTGTCCCAAATCTGGGCTTTGATGATTTTGTCCTTAACATTCAAGCTACGAGTCGCGAACTCGACGCCGATCGTGGACTTAGACTCGAGGCTAAACTCGTTCCTGGTGAAACGAGAGAGCAGATTGGACTTTCCAACGCCCGAATCACCGATCAGAACCACCTTGAAAAGGTAATCGTAATCATCATCTGCTTTGTAGCCCGCCATTAACACTGCTCACGAGAAGAAAAGAAAAACAAAGCTTCACTTTGACTTTTGCTTTTTTTTTTTTGTTGTTTTAATTTACACAGAAAGACAGAGACTGTTGATAAACTAGGGTACGACTTGTGTTCCACACACAAATAAATTGATACGGTATAGGCGAAAACAAAATATTGAGAAAAAGACCAAAACATCCCTGATGATTCATCTGATCTGTGGCGTTTCTACCCTCTAAGACCATTTACAATGGTTTTAACACCCATTTAATTTTTAACACCCTCTAAGACCCGTTTCTACCCATCACTGCAGGTCACTTTCCTCATGTTATCTATCACCATAGGACACATTATTATACAGACACACTTTCCTCTCTCCAACCGACCAGTTCGTACTCTTCTTCTTATGTCTCAACTAATAATCTCTCTTATAGTTACATGAATTAGTTATAATTGGCGGGCTTTATTCTCAGCCATTGATATCAAAACCCCTTCAATGCCTCTGATCTAATAGCACAGATCTGGATTTGACACTAAGATTCCATCAAACCACAACCATCTGATCAAGAACCTTATTTTGTCAACGGCCTAGATCAATTATCCCCTACATTCTTCCTTCTTCTTCGTTTTTGTTTCAGTAAAAAGTAAAAAAACCAAACACCCTCCACTGCAAGAAACCTAACAAACTATACCTCTTCTCCCATCAAATTCTTGTATGTACATTAATATTAATCTAATTACCTTATCATTGAAGCTTAAGTTAACAATTTTTTTTATTGACTAATCACTCTGCTCTTTTGATTTCCAGTTTCCTCCATGCCAGACCACTGTATGGTCATCGCTGGTGAATGGGAGACCTCCGACGACGGTAGCTGGAAGTTCTCTATCGACAAACATCAAATGTCTCGGATTGTTACTCTTTCTCCGACCATGTCTTTGGTCGAAATTCAGAACAACGTCTTGAAGGAGTTTTTCCCAAACACTGAAGCTCCTCTCTCTGTCTTTCTGAGCTATTGGCCGCCAAACACTAATGAACTTGCCACCGGGATCTCAACCCCTCTGGTTGTGCTTTCACACGATGGTTCTGTTATGTACTTCTATCGCCATTTCGAAGTTCACAAGGGTATGAATCTGTTTGTGAAGTTCAACAAACAACCTAAAACAGTCCAAGTTAGCCAAGTTGCTGAGAACCTTTTCCCATTCACCACCCCTAACCAACCTATTCGAAAATCACAACCCCTTTTCAACCGTTTTTCTGCTCCACGTCCCCCTTCAACTGGTCCCTCCCCATCTTCTACAACTGCCTCAAAATTTCCTGGTTTTTCTCTTTTCGCTGAGGAGGACGAAGACTTCTTTGAAGAAGGAACAATACAACCAATGAACACCTCTGTTCCATCCAAGCCAATCCGAATTTCTGTAATAGATGAAACTGTCTCGTATGGGGACCAGATGCTTGAACAGATGTTCAAAGATGACCCAGATCACATTCCTGATAGCTGGAAGACTGAAGAGGAAGAGGAACATGAAGAAGAAGATGCCCCAGACACTGAATTGCCTCCTGGTTTTGAAGATGTCCATCCACGAGGGTATGACCATGACTTTTCGGACCCTTTGATTGACAAAGACCTTGGAGGTTTTGATGCTCCTGAAGTTATGGCTGGCATCCAGGTCCCTAAAACTGCTCCCCACATCATTCACTGCACTACTGATGACGCTTTTGATCACACTATCTTACAATCTGGAGAACAACCATCCCTCTCGAAATCTGAACATCACAACACCGGCGTACACAGTTTCCCTCATATACATCCCAATCCGATGTACAACTGTACACCGGGTCAGTCTATGCCTACTCGTGTTTTTCAGCAAGGATCTCCTTCTGTACAACCTTCTTCAACGTCCACGCGTACACCGGGTACCCACCCTGGGGCCAGCTCCTCCCAGCCTCCAGACGTTCACAATCCTTCCTCGTCTAGATGTACAACACCCATGCGACGTCCACCTGTACAACCGCCTCCTCTCACACCTACACCTCGTGAGACAAGGCCATTCTCAGAGATCAGTGATGAGGAATTCGACACACCGCCACTTTTCAACGACCTTGCCTATGAATCTGAAGACGTGCCGGACCTTAACCTTGACGACAACGATGAGGAACCATATGTTGGGAAACTGTATGCAAGCAAGAAAGATTGTCAGATTGGTCTAGCTATCTACGCTATTAAGCAGCGGTTTTATTTCAGACAGACACGAACCACCAGGCATTACTTCGTCTTGGCGCATTCTGGCAAAAGAGCTAACTAATTGTGGCTACTACACTATCAAGAAAGCTCAGCTGAACCACCGCTGCACACTGGATACACACAACCTATACCGGAAAAAGCCACTTCCAAAGTCATCGCACATGTCTACCGTTCCAGCTACAGCGGGCCTACCAATGGGCCAAAATCCTTTCAGCTTCAACAGCTTCTTTTGGAAGATCTTCGCATTTGCGCTTCATATCTGAAATGTCACAGGGCTAAATCACAAGCTATAGACGACACTGTCGGCAACCCTGAGGATTCCTTTCTCAACCTGTCGTCCTATTTTGACAGGCTCAAAGCCACCAACCCTGGTACTGTTACTGATATCGAAACAGAACTTGATATCGAGGGTAATACACGCTTCCTCTATGCCTTCTTGGCTTTTGGTGCTTCAATACAGGGTTTCCGACGTGTTCGACCTGTCCTTATCATTGATGGCACTCATCTCTCAGGCAAATATAAAGGAGTACTGCTTACCGCCAGCGGTCAAGATGCTAATTTTCAAGTTTTTCCTTTGGCCTTCGCTGTGGTTGATGGGGAGACTGACCACGCCTGGACCTGGTTTCTTGCTAAGGTTGAAAAGATCATTGCAGACTCTAATGCACTCTCCATTATCTCAGATCACCATGCCTGCATTCTCAAAGCCACGCGAGCAGTCTTTCCCAAAGCCCATCATGGAGCTTGCATTGTCCATTTAATGCGTAATGTAGTCTCCAGATACAAAAACAAAGGCTTAGCAAAGATGGTTTGTGAGGCGGCCTTCTCTTACCGCCGTAGAGATTTCGATTTATGTTTTGACAAAATCAAGAAAGCCAACGGTGCTTGTGCTGTTTACCTTGAAGGCATTGGTACTTCCAAATGGTCCAGGACTTACTTCCCCGGCAATCGGTACAACCTTCTAACCAGCAACATTGCAGAGCAGCTCAATAATGCTCTCTCAAAATCTAGACCTTCACCCATTGTTGAGATGCTTATGTTCATTCAGCGCATGCTTACTCGCTGGTTTTCTGCAAGAAGGACAAAGTCAGCAAGGTGGAGGGGCTTTGTCACCCCAGAGGTTGAGAAGGTTATGGAGACCCATATTAGGCTGACCAAAGGCAGCAAGATAACAAATATAACCGACTGGAGCTATCAGATTAGGAGCCTATTTGGACATTCTAACACTGTCTCCCTAGAAACAAAGGTATGTACTTGCCAAGTCTTCCAGAAGCTCAAAATACCCTGCAGTCATGCTTTGTTAGCTGCTGACTACATAGGTCTCCCTTATGTCAATCTTTTTGGGAATTGTTATAAGACACAGTCATGGATCGAAACCTATTGCTGGTGTCATAGCACCCGAATCCCCATTGGACGATCTTCCTATTCCAGAATCCATCACATCCACTCACATGTTCCCCCCCAGACTCGACGTCCATCTGGACGTCCCAAAGATAAGCGTGTTCCTTCCACAGGAGAGATCCCAGTAATAATTCTTCCCCTTATCAATTTTTTTTTGTCATCACTTGTCTTAAACTTATATCATACTCTTTTTTTTTTTTGTATTTTCAGTCTTCTAAGAAGAAAAAACTTGTCCCTAACAAATGTGGACGTTGTGGCGGGACTGGCCATAACCGAACAAATTGCATTGTCCCTATCTGACTGTGGTGAATTCTTTATCCACATGAGCAACCTTTTGGATAGCGCCTTCACCCCCGACCAGGCTTTTTTTAGTTCATTTTTTTGTTTTTTGGCCTTATTTTACATGTAATAACTTTCAAACATGTATTATGTCTGCTGCTGGGGCTTTTGAACATCTATCTTATGGCATTTGACTTATATCTTATGTATTTCAGTATTCTCCGATTTCCTAGGCTCGTACATCTGTACAACTGCATATGAATATACTTAAACCTTCATATTTAGTTTATCGCATCCTCATAAATCTGTACAACTGCATAATCGTATCCATATGGACAGTGTATTTTTTCATGTTTAACCAGAATTTTTAGTTCATTTTTACCTGTATTCTGTCTGATGGTGGGCCTTGTCAACATCTATCTTATGGCATTCTTCTTATGTCTTATGAATATACATATGACATGCATATCACATGCATATGTAAACCTTCATATTTTGTTTATCGCATCCTCGTACATCTGTACAACTGCATAATCGTATCCATATGGACACTGAATTCCTGTCTTGTTCAACCACAGTTTGAACATGTAATAACTTTCAAATGGAATTTGTCTTATGTATTTTGTTTATGGTGGCCCTTTTCAACATTTATCTTATGTTGTACGTTTATCTTATGTATTGGTCTACAAGTTTGATATCTAACATGCATATGTACAACTTCATATTTTGTTTATCGCATCCTCGTACATCTGTACAACTGGGTCATCGTATCCGTATGTACATCGCAATTAATACTACAAACGTATTCGTGTTTAGATAGCACACTTGTACACCAATTAATATTATCATTTTAGAACCTAAAATGCCACTTCTACACCAAATTCATACAACCAAATATAATAGAACCAAATTTAGTACATCATGCTTTGTCCATTTCTTACAACCGAGAAAAAACACACCAATCCTAAAACCGAAAAAACAGCATTCCGACAACCGAAAAACACACCAGTTTAATACACCAAAAACTATCACCCCCACTCTGCTCAGTTATCTCCCAGATAAAGTGGCACAACCCACTCCTTGTACAAAT